TCGTCCAACACAATGTGCTCTGTGACAAGTGTCGCTGTTCAATACTAAAAGCATTTAAGAATTCCATTTAAAATAAACACCTCAGTTGAAAAACTTACCAGACAAGATAATTTAATTAACCAGTGTTAGACGCCTACAATTCTCACTTTACAAAACAATTAAAAAATCAGAATGATGGTGTAGTATTATACATTAAAAATCACATCCAGTACACAATTGTTGAACCCGAACTTGCTGGTGGTAGTGGCGTCATTTGCCAAATGAATGGAGAGCTAGCAATAGTTGCCGTTTACAGATCCCCTTCGAGTACTTCTAATCAAGCGTATGAAATGTTCCTACTTAGTCTGGACTCTATATTGAACTCCGTTGCCAACTACAAAAACATCTGCCTTATAGGTGAAACTAATATTGATATAACACCTACTGCTATAAATGACCGCTCTGCACAATACCTGACTCTTAACGCCACACACGGTCTAGCAGACTGCTCATTCATTTGCCACCAGAATTGACTCTTGTATTGATCATGTCATCCTGAAAAATGACACAATTTCGACTGTAGTTGTTTTGGGGGCGCAAATAACAGACCATCTTCCTCTAATTGTCCAAATTAATAAAAGAAAAGTGGTTAAAAGATCGGACCCGGTTTTTAAAGTACGGTTTTCAAACACGATTTAGAACATCGTAACTTTTCACACATACTCATGTCAAATGATCCTAATACAGCGTCCCTAGCACTAATAACCGAGATTTAAGAAATTATTAGTGTAAACACGAAAATAAAACAAATACTAAAAAGAAATATAAATTTAAAACCCTGGATTATCCCTGGTCTATTAAGATGCATTCGCCATCGCAATAAATTACACCAAAAAGCACGAAAACCACTTGATAACCCAATTTTACAAATTTCATATAAACGTTATCGTAATTTTTGCAACAATCTTCTTAGAAAACTTAATACACTACATGACAAATATGAGTTAGATAATGCAAAACAGAATCCCAAAACACTTTGGAACAAAATTAAAGATATGACCAGCACAAGGAAAGTGTGTGCACCCCCAACGGAACTGTTAAGTAATAAATCTGACCCCAAGCTGGCAATTAACAATATATGCAAATTCTTTGCCACAATTGGTTTTGACTTGGCCTCAGAAATATCACCTGTTACCCCGCGAGTCCCCTCTAATGGCAAGGCACTCTGCAATTCATTTATAATTCTAGAGGTGGATGAATCAGAAGTTGAGTCTACAATCATGAATCTTAGGCACGATAGTACAACGGGCTGGGATGGTATACCTTCCGCATTACTAAAGACGTGTAGAAATACCCTTGTCCCTTTAATAACTCACATAATCAACATCTCTATAACTAAAGGAGTATTCCCTGAACTTTTTAAAAAGGCTCTGATACATCCCATCCACAAGGGGTTAGACCGACTCTGTGTTAACAACTACAGACCGATTTCTGTTCTTTCAGCCCTCTCTAAAGTTATGGAAAAAATAATTAATAGTAGACTACTTAAATATCTCAGCAAATTTAGTATTATGGCATCCAACCAGTACGGTTTTAAAAAAGGCGTCTCTACTGAGGATGCAGTCATCGACCTTTCCCAACATGTAGCAAAAAAACTAGACGAACAACGGAAATGTTTAGGTATATTTTTAGATTTAAAGAAGGCGTTCGATACGGTCTCTGTCTCCACCCTCTTACGAAAATTAGAAACCATATTTATTCGTAGTAAACCTCTAGACCTATTTAAGGACTATCTCCATAACAGGAAACTAGTTGTCAAAATGAATGACTATCGAAGTAATGAAGAAACAGTCACATACGGGACCCCACAAGGCAGTGTGGTTGGACCTACGCTCTTTTTAATTTATATCAACGACCTATGCTTGCTGCCATTACATAAGTCAAAGATCTTCACCTATGCGGACGATACTGCAATTGTAATTCATGGTAGCACGTGGAGTGAAGTAAAGAATACCACAGAGGAAACCATGAATATTATTGCCCAATGGCTATCTCTTAATCTGCTGACCCTAAACATGACCAAAACGAAATACGTCTCCTTTACAATAAATAATAAAAACAAAGCCTCAGAAGATTTTACAATTACGATTCATGCATGTGATGACCAGAATTCTTGCACATGTGAGACACTTACTCGTGTGCCCTACATAAAGTATCTGAGTGTAGTGATTGATGACAGACTAAATTGGTATAACCAAATTAACAGCGTATGCTCGAAAGTCAGAAGACTCATTTATATCTTCAAATCTTTAAGATATTCCGCAGATATGGACACTCTGAAAATGGTTTATTTGGCGCTTTGTGAGTGTGTCATCAATTATTGCATTCCAGTTTGGGGCGGAGCTTCCAAAACCAAGTTTCTTGAGGTGGAGCGAGCACAAAGAGCCGTACTTAAGGTGTTACTTTGTAGACCTTTCAGATTTCCGACTGCTCAACTATACAAAGATTTCAATGTTCTAACCGTAAGACAGCTATTTGTGCTACGAGCCACTCTCAGGAGGCATAGATTAGTCAAACCACCAGACCATACTATGCGTAAAGCAAGAATTCTTTGTCCCGTGGACAATTTCAGAACAGCTTTCGCTAAACGTCAATTTTACATCTCAAGTTGTCTTGTCTATAAGAAATTATCCAGAATCATTCCAATAACTGGCATAAACCATCATGAAGCCAAGTCTAAATTGAAAATGTATATTCAGCCACTTAATTACATTCAGACAGAAGAACTGCTACAACCCCATCAGTAGACAAATATGCACGCGCTCACTCTACACTCACACTCTTACGCGCATAAAAATACACTTATCCATCTACGCTCACTATCACACACACCCACAAACACACACACACACACACACACACACACATACATCTCTCTCTATTCCCCATATATCATATTCTATTATAGTTTGATAATAGTGTAGTACATCCAACCTGTGATAATAATACGATACAAGAAGAGGTCAATATGAATGTAGTTACGGCAGAACACTAACTCCCAAGTCACAGGAATACCTTGGGAGTTAGGGTTTATCTTTACCTGCGTACCTTGATTGAATGTTAAATAGTATTGAGTAGAATTTGTCAAAGGTTATTTGGATAAATAAATATTTTATTATTATAATTATTAATTATGTCCCAAAACCAAAGTGTTGACAGCTTGCAATAAGTACAAGTTTCATTGGCTTCACCATTTAGATCTTTTTAGGCAGTTCCCAGCATAATATACCAATTAGCCGAAGAAATCTAGTGAGTTTTTATTTGATGGGTGTATCTAATGACCACGAGGCTCGATTTTAATGCTTAATAACAAAAGTTCGAGAAATTACACACTGTGAAGACGAATTACCAAATTATATCAAACAAGAGCTTTTTCAATTTATTTATCAATTAAAAGGAGGGGCAATATGTTTCAAGGAAGAAAAAACGGTTCGAAAATAAATATAGTAACTGGCTAGATACATCTATCAATATATACGCTCTGAAAACTGCTGTGCTCTATTTAAAATGGTATCCATGGTATAATATGCCGACTACCATTCACAGAATATTAATTCATGGACATATTATAATCGACTCTGAATCTGAAGAGGCCCAAGAAAGTAAGAACAAAGATATTAAGAAATATTGTGAAGGTTTTACCCGAAAATTCTTCAGAAAACAAACTATGGAAGATTTATTTCATCAGCTTTTAATATCTTCAGATCCACACATTACAGGTCTCAGAAAACTACAAAAGACCAAAAACAAACAGAACAAAAAAGACCAAAAACTACAAAGTCCTATCCTCACGATGTTATAATACTCTTAAAAGAACCTCAAGTTATGATTTAAATTTGTATTTTCTTTTTTGTTTTCTTATAATATGGTATCAATAAAGCTTCTATTTTTATAATAAACATTTAAGCTATTATTTTAGACTAAGTACAGCAATATAGAAGCGTTAACATACTTAATGTAATATTGGCCACGTTTTCGATGAATTTCACCTGTGTGCGCCATCCGTGCAGTCTCGTCTGTGTAAAATGATATAAATCAACGATTAACCGAATTTTTTAATCAAATCAGCTAGAATCTTCTGTTTTTTAAATTTTTTAATTAGCAAAAGGATGAGTAAAATATATCTTTAATATCTTAATGCATACATGTTCGGTGGATAACTCGACTTCTCGAGGCACTAAGCAGGAAATTCAGACAAATTCTAAATCCCCCGATATTCAGTTGATAGGTGCGGATCTGCAGAGGCTGTGTCGGCGGCGCTTTTGATCAATATTTGTATCCGCCGTAGAGTGCAAGCTCGGCCTCGTGCCACGGGTGTCGGGCACAAGTGCGTTATGTTATTTAGATTTAATATGCAATGACAACCAACAGCGGCATAACATTATTTCATCTTATGTTGTACAAAATTCGACTTGCTAGTTAAAGTTTGTACAAAATAAGATAAATAATATAATTCCGCTATTATTGCCGCTGTCAAACCAGCGCAGCGACCGGGTATTTATAATCGGTTCTTTACTCTAATGACTAAAACATTTACTAATCTGTTCAAGATAATTATATATTTACAGTTTGAATACCAATACCCATAAGAAATAGAAGTTAATAGAGAGGAAACAGTTCCGATAGTGCATCGTGTCGGTGGTTTTGAATATGTGTAGATATCGCGTAACATATTAAAAACATTCGAATTAAAAACCTCCTCTTGAAGATTTCCCAAACTTAAACAGATATTTACGATTAGATTCAGTTTGAAATACAATCTTCACGTTAACTAGCCTAAACTGGTCCCCGTGCGATTTCTTCCCACAATCATTTGTTTGCAAATGTTCGTCATGAATCAATGAACATGAAGTAGTTTCTAATTGTTTATCCAATCCATTTATAATTTTATGCTTATTGCTATTGAGAACACACCAGCTTCTGTATAAAACAATATAGATATGTATGTTTGTTTGGTGCAGATGCAGCGTCCGTGGAGATGAGCGTTGCGTGCGTGCTGTGGGCGAGGCCGCGCCGCGCAGTCTGTCTCGCTCGCGCACCCTGGCGCCCCCTCTGCCCGTCCCGCTCGCTCCCTCCCTGCTGTCGCGCGCTGTGAGTATGGCGGCGCGCCCTCTTCGCCGCGCGCGCAGCCCTCGCGCTCCTATCTCTACGTTCCTCTACTTCTCCTTCCTCACTGGTGAGTACCTTGTTCTGCTCTTTATTCCATAGCAAGTAGTCATATCAATTCTTGAAGAGTTGGCCGGATATTTGCCAGCTGCATACATACATCATAATATATTTACGCGGATTTAATGTGTTCGAATTGTTGCGATTGTGGACAATCCATCAGCGCTGAGACGTAATACCTTGCCCATTGGTCTTGACATTGAATCTCATAGAAAGGTAAATGTTGTAAAAATGGCAATGGGCAATACTGTTAAGTGCACATGCGATACACCCTGCCACTTGCACAGCAAGTGCATAGGAACCTCAAATGTACCGATCGACGATATACAACGCTATAGTACATTTCATATATACTGATTGTACAGCCAAGTTCACTTGTACACTATACTATACTAGTTTGTTTGCCCTTTCTTCTCATAAGGCTCAACCCCTTGGAAACGGGCGGTTGTACATAGATTTTGCATGGGTTTGATTTTTGTTAAATTTATTTGCTTACTATTTGACAAAACAGATTGTTGCTTTTGTGTGTGTTGATCTATGACTTTAGAGTCTACATAAATGACGATTTCAAACAATTTTGAAAATTTTATGAAATAAAGAGAGTTTGAGTTTGAGTTTATACAATAGTAGTTGAATAAATAGTTAGTAGTTTATTGAGTACGCAAGAAATACAGCCAAACGTAATTAGTATATTTAAGTAGAGGCAGGTATATCAAATGTATAGAGTAGCGAATCTTTCCTTGATTGTGCTTTGTAAGTCTAATAGTTGGTAGCGTACTGACTTTTAAAGTATTAATTAATGTGTTTATATACAATGGAGTATAACAATGACAACGCGCAGCCAAAAGTAGGTCGCAGCGTGTATTCAAAATTATCTAAAAGTAAAAAGTGAAAACAATTTGTATGTACGTACGATGGTGAGATCGTGCACTGAACATTTTACTGAGACATGAAGCCGCTTTCCTAAATTACAATTTTGTTTTAATAACGGTTAAGGTTGTAATTGGTTGTAAATGTATGTCATCGTCATTATCATCGACAGCCTTTAATAGTCCACTGCTGGAAATAGGCCGTATTTTAAAGGTCTGTTTTTAATAATAACTTTAAATGCGTGATTTAGGATCAATGTTTTTGTGTTGAGGTTGACGCAATGTTTCAGTCTATCAATATTAAAATTATTATTCGTAGGGGTCACCATGAATGTTGCAAAGGTTGATAGACTATGGTTAAGATGGCTACCAACCATCAGGTGGGTCCTGCACTATATTTATATAATAATATAAATTAATTATTACTTATATATATTTATATCATGTAATCAATTTTTTGCCGACTGTTTCTCATGTTTTAATTTGTAGTAAAATAATAATGCAGATTGAGTGACATGATGAATGTTAATAAGCTACGCGTCAACGAGCGCTAATTGATTTGAGCTGATTTATTATTTATTAATTTCCAACAATGTCATACAATTGTGTCCGCTCAGGTGGGCGCTGCACTCATTTGCAGAACACGTATTGACAACAGCATCAGTTGCGCTCGTCGCGTCATAAATACATTATTGTTTCGGTAACGTTCATATTATGATTATTACAATGGAAAACTATATTTGGCCTGAAATAACATGGACTGAAAAGGTTTCAACAATTTTAATATATAAATATTATATTTTAATCATTTAGCAAAGGTTTATCACAGGATCAGGACCGGGATGTGGGAGGGATGTGGGAGGGATGTAGGAGGGATGTGGGAGGCATGTAGGAGGGATGTGGCAGGAACAGTTGACCAACTGTACAGACATAATTATTAAAACAGTACAGTTAAACAGATTGGACAATATTTATATTTTAGTCACCAAAAAAAATAATTAGTTAGTTAGTTCACTCTATAGCCAGGTCACTTTATAAATTGTACTTTATACTGAGAAAAGAAAAACGAACGTGAGTTTGTAATTATCTTGTTTATTTTTCGCAATTTTATTGTAATACAGAACTAATTTAGAAATAACGCGAATAACAAGGCATATAAAGTAACTCCTCATTTCTTAAAAGTATCCCCTATTTTGCATTGGATCGTGTCTCTCTCTGCGGTAAATTAAAATGTGTCTTCTACATACAAACTTATTTTTGTGCTGATTCAATTTACTTCGAAACCCAAAACAGTCGAAGTCCGGGTTTCCGGGTACATAGGAGTTACTGCAGTGGACGTGTGAGTGTGATTCCCAAGGCCCTGAGGGCTGAGACTTATTTACTTGTTTTTTTTGAGCCATTAGGAATTAAACTTTGTAATGGGAGCGTTAATTAATTGAAATATTTAACAATAATGATCAGAAACTGGTTTGATAGAAAAACTAAGCTAAGCGTAGTCAAGTTTTATAACCCGTACGCATAACTTCGTACCAATAAACTTGCTTTGTTCACGTGAACCGTCTCTAAGCTTGGCCATAAAAGATATAAAAGTGATTGCTTCTAAACTAGAAGTACCCATCCTGGTCCCTTCGCATCGACGTAATCCCTCCGCCGTCGTTCCGTCTCCACACGGCTCCGTCCCGCGCCGCTCCGCACCGCTCCGCGCCGCACCGCTCCGCACCGACTCGTATAATCCGCGTTATCGCGCCGTCAAATTAATGGTACGCTTTAATTACACTGCTTCACTTATAAACCTATGAAACAAATACAAAGTCCTGCTGTGTAAATGTTAGAAAGAGGTTTTATTGCACTGAATTTCAAATTATAAATCCCGAAACTTTATTATTGTTTCTCCAAATATGTACCTAATACATGCTTCATACTATGACATTGTTTATACGAGTATTTATGGATTAATTTAATAATATGTCGAAATGGTTCGAAGTTTTTTTTATGTTAGAGGGGGCAGACGAGCAGACGTCTGCAACTCAGGAGTCTGCGCTGTCTGGAGGAATACGCTCTTTTCTTGAAGGTTTGAAGGTCGTATCAGACTGGTTGTGCGGGGCAAAAATTGTCTCGAAAAGCGCACAGTAGTGGAGCGCCAACTATCCAGATAATAAGGATGAAGATTTTGACGTGTGGAACGATGGCGGAAATTTGCGGCTGGTGTTAGTCCGAACAATTCATCGGAGCACTCTCCATGATATATGCTATAGAGAATGCAGAGTGTAGCTATCTCTACGTAACGCCAACGAATCGAGCCGGTCGCAAATCTTTTGGCTATCATCGATTCGAGTCGCTCTTCGTTGGATGCGGTCCAGAGGGAGAAGTAGTAATTGTTATACCTATTCTCTATAACTTATTTTTTAACTATTCTCACTCAATATTCGTACGGTGATCTTTGGTTTGGGATAAAGTTCTATAGGTGTTTGATGTGAGATGCGGCCGCCAACTAATGAAAGCCTCGAACAATGGCACCCACCCGCAGTCCAAAAACATTTGGGAAATATGATCTGGCTTCGTAACTCTGATTTCCAATCGCTGTACTTACATATACGAGTATGTGCTCGCTCAGTATGTACATGAAATAAATGAAATTACATTATACTGTTGTTTGATAAGTGATTTAATGTAACTTACAATTTTGATCATATATAAAAAAAAATTATTGTCTTCAACTCAAGAATAATTTAAACAGACAAAAAATGTCGACTACGCAAAACAACTGAACTTGTATCAACAATTTCCCGAAACGCACCAACGTACGTAGTGTTTGTGACAGCTGTCAAAGTAATACCAGCGGGCCGTCGGCCCTTCCGTTATGTTTGGTTAGAGAACAATAGGCGAACATAGACCGTTTCAGACGAGCCTTCCCGCTCAAGGTCGTTAAGACACAGATATAAGTTAATGTAACCTCAATATGTACTCGGTTACAGAGCATACAAGTATTACATTGATACATTTGGAGTTTTGAACTATTTTTTATTCACCGCAAGGAACAATGGGTTGTGGGTTGATATTGTGAACTATTGTACAGACAAGGAGTGGTTAAACAATACAATTTATTATTTCATGATGTGACGAACATTTAACAAAATTTTCGTATTTTATTACATGAGCTATTAAAATTGCTCATATCGTTGAAACGTGTAGTTATTATGCATAAAATAAATAATGATAAATTAAACGCTGAATGATATAGGACAAGAAGTGTCGGAAAACGGTCTTGTTACACATTTTTCGGTCTCGCTTAGCGTGTGTAACGCGGGATAAGGAACTTCGTGCTAATAAAACCATTGACAGACAGGCGTTATAGCGAATGCAAAAAGACATCCCAATATGTCGTCTCCAGACGCGCCCCACGCCGTCGTCGTTAAGTGTGTGCAATAAATCACCGCGCCCGGCCCCGCGCCCCCCCCCCCCGCGCCTATCTGTGAACCTCATCTAACTATGTGTATGTGTACATGTGATTGTTTCCACACTTTTTCCTCTTCGAGGTGCGGAGGCACCGCGCCGTAGCCCCTAATGTGTCGCCGTCAGGACACCCTTACTTCTGATCGATCATCGACACTATAGCTCTCGCCGATATTCTACTTTATTTTTATTTTAATATTCACTGACTAAAACCCAGTCAATTTCAAAATACATATCTGGGTTGGAAATCCGATAAACAATAATTAGGATTCACCAAATACCCGTATCCTTGGTGTTCGGTTTCATTATACGTCATAGGGAGTAATTACTTAATTAGTCATTTTTTATATGTATTAGTAACGTGAGTATAAGCGATATTCCTGTCAGCATAAACCAAGACAAATGCTAGTCTGCGGAGTGGGTTGACGTCGCCGCTCTATTAGCGTCGAACAATCTGTCGGTTCCTAGAACCTCCACCACTTTACAAATTACATTAAACGAAGTTACGATGTGTGTAGTATACGTCTGTCGTGAATTACTTACGCGCACCAATTTCCCCGATACGTCGTAAAAATGAAAGGCTGGCTGGTATTAGGCGCAAAGATTGAGCGATCGTTTACACCGCGTGTGCCGCGGCCGGGCGCCTGCATTAGCATACGAAGCGATGGAACGTCGATGTTTTATCGTA